GAGGGAGGAAAACCGGAGAACCCGGAGAAAAACCCTCGAAGCACAGGAGAGAACCAACAAACAACTCTACTCACATACGACATATCATCGAGATCGGCAGGACTCGAACTCAGGCCGCATTGGTGAGAGGCAGTACGCATCCCTAGATTATTATTATTATTATCATATTTATTATTACTATTCTCATGAGGAAAGAAAATTTGCCAAGCATAGTCAAATGACGCCATCATGCAAACGTCCCATTGAAATCAAACTTGCCTTCGAGCCAGTTTCTAAAAAATCTACGCATTTTCATGTGTGATTATACTTGCAGCAAGTCAGAGTTAAATATTATAAGGCGAAAGAAACTAAGACGGTTGAAGAAATGAAAGGTAAACCAATGCTCTCATAGTTCGTAATGATTTATGTTATCCTATTTTTTGGTTTGTATAGAAAATCGTACGATCTCTAGTGCAATTCGGAATTTATAGGTACGAGTGATATTTTAAAAGTTTTCAAAATTTGAGAAATTTCAAAACATCACGGGTATCTTTAAATTCAGAATTGAGAATGGTGCGATTTTGTTTGTAATACCCTCAACAAAATTAAGCAACTTTATTGAGATTCTACAGAGTACAATTTACTTCTCTTGTCCAGAATCGAGAAATTTTGTCGAGTGTATTACATAGACTGAAAATGTGCACCATTGCGTACAGTAACGATTTGTGGCTTTTTATAAACAGTCAAGCAATTATTTGATTTTTATATTTGTCGGTCATCTTTACATTTCCTTGTTAGAGTATCTGGCAGAATACAGAGATGCCTTGCAAGACAGCAAGAGCTACCGCAATCAGCTGGAGAAGGAACTACGAAACATGAATGCCACGTTAGAACAGCTCAGGTAGGGGGATGTGTTTGATAATATTATGCTTAAGAATGAAGCCATGGAAGGTAATTAAACGAAAAGAAGAAAAGGAAAGGCACGGGAGTAGAGAGAACAGAAGAACAATCATCATTTTTTTAACGTTTAGAAAATGAATATTGGAACATTTTCTTTATTTTTAGAGATAATCTTGAGGCATTCAAAGAAGAACTTCAGAAGAAAGATGAAAATTCATTAAGAAAATCATAATTAAATAATAATATTTATAAAATAAATTAAATAGTACGCACGCTGTGATTGGTTGATAGCCATGTTTGCATGAGGCTATGTAAACACAGTTGTGACGTCACAACTTTCGTGTTTTCCCGGTACAAGTTCAAAAATTAAAAAAATTACAGTTTCTTTTGAGGAATAAAACGCCCCCAAAAATATGTTCTGAAGACGAAGTTCCAAATTTTGACTTGTGTCAGGGCCACAGGGATAACCCTATGGTCTCATGCTGGTCTTTCTGATCGTAATATCATGACAATCTYTCGTTGGTCACCGCAAAGAGAATTCCCTCAGGTACTACAACACACGTCCTCCGTCAGGACAGCTTCGGTTGTTTAGCGACGTGCTTTCTCATGATTTAAGTGCACCGCCCGATAAAGAATACAAGTATTTCAAGGAAACAGTCAGCAGCTTCAAACGTTTTCCAGCGATAGCTCTTCAGCTCCACAAAATATGTTCTCGAGGCAAGACGAAACAATCAACTTCGCTGCCATATTTTTCTCGCTGTCAAATTGAGCAAAACCACGTTTCTTTCAACCGAGAATTCCCTTCACAGTGACACTTGTTATCCACTTTTGATCACTTTCGTGAAGATAATCAATTCTGAAATATTTTATTCAGATTTCTTTTCAATCTTTGAACATTTCTTTGTTTTTGTTTTAAGGCTTTAGAAGTGATAAATGTTTACACTGTAAAATAGCTAGCTTCTTTCTCGCTTCACATTTGTCTCTTTGACGTTTATTACACGAAATTTGATTGGCTAACGATC